CCCTAAACCCTAAACCCTACTGAAGCGGGTTACAAGCACCCTTCATGGGGCACCGAGCCAGGGCTTCCAATGTCCCTGTTAATTTCGGACTATACTACCTTACTCAAGGCACTAAAGGAGGGACCCTTAAAGGGACCCTTGGGGTTATAAAGGGGCTTAATGGGACTATATAGGGGGTATATACGGGTTATATAGGGCATGAGGATTACGAGTCCCTTCTAGGGGTCCCTCCTGTTTTCCCTTAACTTACATTATGGTAGGATCGCTATATGGGTAGTTCTCTTTCTTTGGCTCCCTTTTTGGATCCCCAGTATAGTACGGCACTCTTATAGAAAGGACCCTATTTTAGGACCCTAATTTAGAGAGCTACCCATATGACGTAATGTGCATATCAGTATCTTCTTTAATGCAGGGATGTTGGAAGGTAGGGTATTACAGGGTTCCGTTGAGGGTTCCTATAAGGGTTGGAGGGGTTTGTGTTTCTAGGTTTGGGGTGTAGAGCTTTGGGTTTTCACAAGTAAGGACCTCCTAGTCCCACCTACAACCTGCTTGCTACGCCCACTGAGCCCCAACCCTGAAAAGACCGGAATGAGAGATAAAACCATACACTCCAACCCTAAATCCAAAACCCAAAACCATAAACCCAAAACCCTAAACCCCAAACCTAGAAACCCCAACCCCGACAACCTGGTAGGAACCCTAGAACCAGGCATTCCTAAAGGAACGCAAAACCGTAAACCCTCTAGCCTAACGTAGGGGCCTTAGAAATTAGAACAAGGGATCGGGTGCTCCCTATTATAACTATAGTCTAATATACCCCCCGATTCCGATTCTAACCCTAAACCCTAAACCGACCAAGTCCCCAGTTTCCCCCAAGTCCTCCGTGGTGATCAGCCCGTTTGAGTCCGAATCCAACAAGTAGAAAAGGTTCCTTAGGGTTTTTAGGGTGTAGGGCTTTAGGGTTTAGGGTTTTAGCGTTTAGGGTTTAGGGTTTAGGGTTTAGGCTTAGGGTATTTGGGTGAAGGGTGTGTGCTTGTGTGTGCGGAACACAGCCAGAGCAAGACACCGAAGTGCGACTTGGCTGCAGGCATGACCGGGGTTCCGGGGGTTGTTGCATTATGTTTTTACGATTTTCTGTAGGAGTCTTGGCATTCATGCAATAGGGGTCTCTTCGTAGGTTCCTGCGATGGTTGAGGGGTTTGGGGCTGTCAGGGCTCAGGGCTTGGGGCTTAGGGAACCCTACGCCCTTACCCCTAAAACCCCTAAACCAAAAACCCTAACCCTAAACCCTAAACCCTAAAAACACTAAACCAACAACTCCAACCCAGTGTGGGGTTTTCAGGTTTAAGGTTAGGGCTTTACGGCTCTCGGAGTCCTTTGAGGGTTTCGTAGGGTTTGTAGATCCTGTTATGGTGCTTCAAGTGGGATAAAATGGTAAAAGGTTTCACTTTAAGACTGAAAGATGAGGGCTCTACTTAACGCTGAAAGCTTCGGGCTTAGAGGGTTCAGGGTTCAGGTCAAGTTTCAGGGGCATCAAGTTTAGGGCCTGATTAGGGTGACCCTTTTTGGGGTTATAGACCTTCTCAACAAGGTCCCTTTTTGAAGGGAGTCATGAGTAGGGTGAGGAAGGGACCTGAACCCTAAACCCTACAGGGTTTAGGGCTTAGGGGTTTAGGGCTCTAAACTGCAGTCCCGTTTGGAAGCTGTCTTAATCGACACCTTCTGAAATCACACGTTCACGACAGCCTCGACGAAGAACTGTCAGGGCGGAGTCAGTCGGAAAGCACACGGAACATCCCCCAACACTCTAACCGAAACTCAAAACATATAAGCCCAAAACCCTAAACCCAAAACCCTGAACCCTTAAACCTTAAACCCTAAACCCAAAATCCTAAACCCTAAACATTAAACCCTAAACCCTAAACCCCTAAACCCCAAACCTTAAAACCTAAATCTTAAACCCTAAACCCTACTAAACTCCTAAACCCTAAACCCTAAAACCTAAATCTTAAACCCTAA